TTTTGTGTGTGTGTGTGTGTGTGTGTGTGTGTGTGTGTGTTTTCCTTTTTTTATTCTGGAAATGAATTTTGTTCGTTCGCTAGCGTTAGGTTTAGGTACTGTTTTTGTCGTTTGTCGAACGCTTCTGGAAAGAGTTGAATCGTTAATTTCTGTTTATTTCGGAACTTGATTTTTTTATTACAATAATCTTTTAATTAGTTTATAAATATTTACAATATACGATAGTTGTATCACTGTAATTAATTTAATTTTATTCAGAGAACTATATCATGAATTGTATACAGCTTAAAAAATCACTCACGAAGTTTTTCCCTTTCATTTTTGCACCATAAGTGTTTACCAAACATTTTGATATATTACACAAAAATGTCTTACTTCTTTTTTAAATATTCTGACGATAATTATCAGTAAATTCAATAAGGCTATGAAGGATATGCTGTCTTCATTTGTTTCTCATTTCCAACTAAGAAAATCATTAGTCTTGAAGATCAGTTATACGATACAATATCTTGGTTCATACTAAGTTTATTTGAAATCAATCACTTATTTAGAAGAAAAGCATAAACAAATAAATTTTTTAAACAATTTTATTTAGGAGAACAATATTTTAAATTCAATTGATCATCCAATCGTTCGGTTTCTATAACATTTTTCATTTATAGTTTTATATTTACACGCGCGGTAGGAGTGTCACGAAATCACGATAAAGAAGAAGTTTTATTCGGATTTGCTAACAAGGATTGATTTATGCTCAACTTACAGCCCCATAGGTGCACAGGGACACGATGTTTCGGGAAACGCCGTAACCGGAATTGCCGATAAAGGCGCATTAGTTTCCACGATCAAATTGATGGACGATCGAACGTCGTCGACCTCCCGATCCTTCACGCCCACGTTGTTTCTATTTGTTGATTTCCGTTCCAACACACTTTACCTTTATTTTTACCTAGTACCTTTCGCATCTCGTGTTTCTAATACACGTTGCTTGTGTATTTTTACGTGTGATTGATTATCTTCGAATTTTCTTTCGTTGTAGAAAGTCACAGTAATATCAGTCTTAATAATAATTAAAAAAGAAATAGTATAGTTCCAATTAGAAATAAATAAAAGTTCTGTTTCAATAATAAGTAATAATTATCGGCAGTAAAAATTTAATAATTAGTTTTATAAAAAAATCGAAGCTTTAGGCAAGACGTTGAGTATGTTTAATATTGTACTATATAAATATTTAAATATATAGAGCACTATAATATCTGTATACTTAACATATAATTTATAAGTCTTCTGTTTTCTGTTTACAGGTACGTGCAAAATATACTCGCTGATTAATGATAAGTGATGATCTGCCCAGGGAATGCTAAGAGAACGTAAGAATAAACGTCTAAACGTCATCTTTTTTTGTTCAGTTTTCATTTTAGTATTTTGCCTACACATAGAAAAGATAATGTTTGGGATTGTACACAAAATTTTGATGTTTCTTTACAAACTTACAATATATCGAGAGCCTACAATAGAAGATATTAATTACATTAAAGAGTAAAATCATAATTATTATATAATCTATAAGTATTATTACACGCACCAAAAATTACATTCCACAACCTTGTTACATTAAAACTCAGGTTCGACATAACGAAGTGAATAATTAGGTGTTCTTTAAAAATCTGGTTCAAAATAGATCCGGGCATCGCCAATCTAAAGTTAATATTTTAGGTTCAGATAAAAATTATCTCACTATGTATCACAGGTTCGGACAAAAATTATCCCACTACATATAATATATAAATAAATACCAAAAAGGAAGGATATATTTCATCTTACTATGCTTTAAACTTAAAAAGACAAGCAACAAACGATAAAAATGACTTGGTACTTACGTATTAACCACCTTTCTTTCCTAACTGCACTGGTCAGTCATTTGGGTTAAGTCTAGACCAGTATTCATCTATTATAACACATTATGAATATTTTATTATTGTTACCATCATTATTAATATTTTATTTCTGAAAAACAAAGACTGCCCGTATAACACGTAACTATTATAAATGTTTCCCCGTATAATCGATGTTCCGCGACGCACGAGCCCGAATACGCATTCACTCGAATTTTCATTTGGCCACGGCTAGTTCGCGTCGCGTCGCGCGCGCGGAAAGAATATTGATAAGCGTGTAATGCATGATTTCACGACCGGAAAACAATGGTTCACGGAACTCGTAACTTTGTCTTTAACCTGATTCCCTGGCCATTATCCAATGCGGCTACCCCGCGCAATTTCCATTACGGGCCGCGTGCAAGAATAACGCGACCGGCGCGACAATAAAGTGCCGGAAGTCCAGGAAATCAAATTCGCCGGGGAAATGTGTTTCCCCGCAAATAATGCTGACTGCATACTCCGATGTCGTCCCCCCGCGCGTATATGCAACGGTCGGCGTAACGAATCAGCCTTCGTAGACGTTTATACGACGTAGTTCCATTCCCACGAACGTTCCCTCATTATCGGAGCCCGTCATATCGCAGTGTACATAGATATGACATAATTCTAAACAACTTTTCCCTGTATATATATCTGCCGCTCGGCATTAGTTTCCGAGATAAACGGAAAATATTTTTATTTCTGCATGTATAATACATCGAATGTATAAACTTGTTGGATATGAACTCTCTACTTCGTCGATTTCATTGATTTTTCAATGTGTCGTAGAAGTTGATGTTTGGAACAACTTTTTAACTTAATAGAAACGTCAGACTCGTTTTATTTCAGTTGAGGGATAGAGTGTACGAAGGTACTGCTAAGGAATCAATTTCGGTTACGATAACTTTCTAACGAATAAATTTAGGGTATATGTATGTTAGTACTTTCTCGTGGAATATTAAAAATTACATCGATTGGTGCAATCAGAAACATAGGTTTCCGTTAAATAAGAAAGTGCAGTTGCGTTTCTTCGGTTCATCGATGGAGAACAGTGCACAAAATTATTTGCACACTACACATCGTCTGATACCATTTGACTTGAATCTGTAGTATTTTCTTCTATTTCCAACTGTTTGGGTACAGCCTGTTCCAATTTGCACGGGACACTTTACTTATAAACTCAATGACTCCTTAGTTTCATTTTTCCAATATTTTATTCCAAAGATTTGTTAGATTGAAGATATTACAATTGAGAAATTGTCACCGAAACAAACGCTAGCGAACTATTATCCCATTCGCTACCAGCATTTCTTTTAACAACAGTTTCCGCAGTTACAATATTTTATTAAATATAATATATCGTCTTCACAAAATACGAAAAATAATTAACCTTTCGAGCGTTGCGGGCGCACATACGCGTTTTTCAATCTTTTTGATCTCGTACGTGCCGCGATGACAATTATAAGCGTGAGACATTAACATATATATTTCTTAATTATTCCATTCGATGAAACTGAGGAATTCCGATTACAACTTAATTACGCCTTATACGAATTAACATAGCTCATGGATCTTTAGAGAGAGAGCTGAAAAAATATTCTGCCCACACGGAACGTTTCGGTTGCGTGTATTCAGCATTTCAAATGGTTAAACCTTTACACTCAATTTATTTTCAATGTTCCTTGGTGTATACATGTATTTATTTTTAGGGAAACGAATGACAGTAATTTACAGCGATAGAATTCAACGTTTTACATTTACTTTATTTATTATTATTACAATAAGATTTAATCTTTATAATCTTTTAAAGTGAGGTACTTTTTAAAACAATTTCAAACGTGACGTACATGTTTTAGAGTAAGTTAGTGTTGTCAGCTCTAGCATGACATACAAGTTCTACAACAAATTTCTATTGTCTTCTCTAGCATGACATACGAGTGCAAAGGGTTAAGAGAAGAAAATCTCGTCATACATTGATCGTCATAAATTTGCATCGCTGGTAGCGAACGTGTTAATATAGAAATTATTATATATTAAGATATAATATAGTTATATAATAAATCGTTTCTCCCTGTTCTGTTCGCGCGGGTTCGTTAGAATGAATGCGCACGCGGTCCTTCATTGGTCGATCTCGATTCGCAGCAGGCAAATTGCCGGGGCATTAATCATACGGTCATGCAGCACCGCAGCGCGCCGTCTTGTTGCGATCTGCGCGGGCAGCTTGCGCCCGGGAACGAGAAAGAAAGGACCACCGAGGGCCGCATCGCAGTTCCGCGCGAGAAGTATTTATGAGCCGGTAATAATACTCGATCCGCAACGACGAGCAACGACGAGCAACGACCAGACGAACAGGGACCGGCTTGTCCCTCTTCTACAACAATGTTGGGCGTGGTTCGAGTGCCCGTCCGTATCCGCGCCGCTCCAGGAAAAAAAGGAAATGGTAACGGAGTCACCGAATCCGGCAAAAATTCATTTCTTCTTTTACCCTCCTCGCGCTCGAAGATTTCTTTTGGAAGTTGCTTCAATCTGTTAACTGTGAAATTTAATTTCAGAAATCTCTGATGAGCTTGGATTGCAATTTAACTACTCTTCTTGTATTGACTTCTATAAATATATTTTCTTTTTGTACAGCATTAATGATATTTATGATGTAGGGTGAGGTTGCTCGAGTCCTATCTCATAAGGAAAAGAGTGTGTAAATTGAAAGATATATTAAATAAACAAAAAATAATTGCTTTATTTGAAACTTTAATGAACGTTAGTACTATCCATTTGAACAGAGTTCGAAATTTCTACTCTTGCTTGTAACGAACATTTCTTAATCTGTTAACTGTGGAATTTAATTTGAAAAATTTCTGATAATGCTCGCAATGAAATCAAATAATGGAGTATATACTCATCTGACACGGGCCAAACGCCACTATAATATATTCTAACGAAAAGCCAAAGCAAAATGAAGGAAAAGTATATGTTTATCTGAAAGAATAAACAATTGATCGTTGAAAGAATTATTATCATTTTGATTTTAAGATGACGTATATACTCGTCGAATGCAGTTAACTAGTTAACACGGAGAGTAGAAATTTTAATCACTTATTTTCGCGACTTATTTTCAAATTAATTGTGATATCCAAGTTTTGAATTTTTAAATTAGGGTTATGTAGAATTAAATGCATGGTAATGTGGTTTATAAATTTGAATGTTATAGTATTCATGTCAGTTCGCATCACAATGAACATGAATGCTATAGAATTCACGTCTGTGAACATGTTAAGGAACATCGGTATTGGTTTATAAAATACCGACGGCATTTTTTACAAATGTAAAGAAAATTGATACATGAATCAAGAAATAGAATTATTGATAAGCAAAGATTGATCTTTTATATTTATATTTATGATCAACAGAAATTAATAATCAACATTATGTGAATTATTGCATACGACAGATCGTACATATAGATTTTAATTCAAGGTAGATGATATTGTTTTCAAATTTTTTATATTTTTGTTGTTGGTTTCTGTGCTTAGTGAATTTAATATTTTGTTAGTTATATATCTGTAACTTTTTAAATGGATAATTAACAATGGTAACTTACCATCATAATAATAATAATCTTTATTGCAACGAGATACAGCGCGGAGTACTACGCATTTTAAACGATGATCTTATTTTTTCCATCGATGAATATATTTTAATTACCCCATGAACTATAGAGACTTCAATAAGTATCCAGTATTCCTTCATATTTTTTAAAAATCGAAAGCAATAAAAAATCAGCTATGAACATAAATAACGAATGTTGCAGATCGAAGGTAAATACTAGAAACAGAATTGTAAATGAAGAATTAACCTCCTATCCCACAGATCCGTGACGAGAATTTCAAACTGAATTCAACGAATCTAAATGACCTAAAATAATCTAAACAAATTTTTCCGTGTAAATGAAACATTACGTTTCCATCATCAATCCTTAACCTTTAGAACAAACGTGGACATGGAATAATCACCATTCTTTTCAAATTAATTATAAACGATAAAGTAGATTCATTAAGCACAGTTCCAGAAGGAATCCTATGACAAGGGGTTAAAGAGACTCGGTAAGTAAGTGTACTGCAGATTCCGCATGATTCGACGCGGATCGGTTTATACGCGAATCAACGGGGGGATAGAGCCACTTCGTATAGCGCTCGAGGAGAAACCAATTAGCCGCCGACATATTTCACAGGAGCGGGAACTGTCGCGACCGCGTGCGGATAGAAAGCACACAGGAAGTTGTTAAGCTTTTGCTTGGAGCTGTCGTTAATTAAAATAACCGAGGTAGAATGCTCGCTGCTCGGTTGCGTGCCGATCTTTCTGGCGATGAGATTGTTCCTCTGTCTTGCTTTTCGCCGGTGTCCTTCGGTTGGAAATGTTTATTTCGATTCTTGGGATGATAGATATGGGCACTGTTA